TTAGTAGTTGAACGATAGATCACCACACGTTGACCAGGCTTCAACTTGAGTGAGCGGGGTCGATAAGAGCGATCAGGATGACGGCTTTCACGTTGTTGCTCAAAATCTTCCCGAACTGCACGTCTCTGGTCATTCAAATTAGCCAAAGCAGGACTACCAGTTGAGGGGATACCATCATAGCGGAGTTTCTCTTCATGATTACGAGATCTTCCATAAAATATCTGGAACGGTGTAGAACCCAAAAACGGTCTATCGTTCGGTACCCACCACGTCACAAATCTTATCTATAGCCTCGGAAGCAGCAGCACCTCCCTGGTTTTTAAGCCCACAAACAAAGACGAAATGTGAATATAGGTAGACTAAAACCATAGCACTGGTAAAACCGGTATCGGAATCTCTCGGAAAAGAACCACAGAAGTCTATAGCCACCTCTGATCTGACCGAATGAGCAGCCTCATCGGTAGGACCAAACACTCCCTCAAAGAAACGACTCGTTGCTGCCAGCTGACAACGGTCACATCGCCGACAAATATCACCAACGATACGGCCCAAACTCGGGATATGAAAGCCACGGCTCACTTGCCATTTTATATAACGAGCATTGAAATGGGCTGCTTGATGATATCCGTCTACAACTCGGTAAGCCTCAGCTAAACCTTCCTCAGTGTCCGTTGGAATGAAAATCACTTCCCTAGGACTCTGAGTAAGATCACCGTGAGGATATGTTGGTGAAAGTAGAACACCATCATCACGAAGCCGCTTCCGTTCCAAAGCTTTCTTCACCGCAGGTGAAGTAGTATCATTGCTCTCATCTAACAGCACCTTCACAACCTCATCATAGAGCTTTGACTCACGCTGAGTACGAATAAGACGCTCAATATCCACAATGTGGATTCCACATTATGAGCCAAATGTAACACATGTGATATTGGCCTGGACTCGAACACAGCAGGAAGATCATCATCTACTATCTCGAGGCCTTTTAATGCGACCCCCAGACGACTAAGAGAATCTGCTCGGCTCTCAGAGCTAACCACCTTCCTAAGAGTCCATCGTACACCAGCCTCCTTGAGGTCACCAATAATCTCTTGAATAGAGAATGATAATCGACGAACAGCAACCTTCTCCACACTATTCGAAGCGCACCGGGTGTTGACACTCCATCGACACGCTGTTTGAGAATCACATAGAACAACTATCTATTCAATAGGAACCATCAGCCGACCAACCGAATTCAATAATAGCGAATGTAAAAAGATTACCGCACGAGATAGTGCCCAAAGTTCCTTTCTGTTAATGTGATGGACCACCTGTTGCTTCTTAAAAATACCAGCTGTTTCCTGAAACAACCATTCCGACCCCTATTTGTTACCAACTTGAGGCTGTCTATAGATGCAAATGCCCCAACCAATGATACTTGCATCAACATAACAGTCTCTGAGCACTATTGTAGGATAAATATCCTAGCACACAAAGTATATCTGTCCCTATTGTGCCATTCGTATCCTAGCCTAGCTTTGCAATGTATAAGTGTTATATTAGTAGTGAGTGAAGTTGGATCATCATTGTGATCTACTGTTGAGTTAGTCTAACGACTTCTCTATAACTTGGTAGCAGCTCCTTCGACAAGCAGAAGACGCCCTTCTTCAAGTTGTCCTCTATATGCAATGGTATCCGAGTCGACTTCTAATATGCAACTGAAGATTACCCCTGCGTCCTTAACGGGTTCTAAGTTGACTATTGCCAAGATCGAGGGTTGGTTTAAGAAGTTCGAGACGATAGCCAAATTTTATAATTGGGGTGAGAAGGCTTATGAATATGTTCCGCTGTTCTTGGAAGATAAAGTGCAGGTTGCTTATGATCATATTCCGCTGTCTGATCGTACTGACTTGAATAAGGTGAAGGCTTCTCTCATCCACAGCCTCCTGACTCAAG